TTCCCTCCTCCCATTAATTCCTAACACTTCGACCTACTTCCCCCGTCTTACTAACTTCTAACAATTTCACCAAATTCTAAATGTTTCTATACTATCTATTTTCCTACTCATTAACTAACTTGCCCTCCTTTTCCTCCACTAATTCTCCCTATATAAACCCCTCCTAGATCCAGACCGACAGTCAATTAGTTAATAAGTCAGTTTGGAAATCGTCAGCTTCAACGCCGTCACGCCAAAAGCTACCAGCCTCAGCTTCAACACTGTCGCCTCCCCGTCTGCCGTTTTTATTCTGTTGCGCAGCCTGTGCGGTGCCCCGGCTTACCGTTTACGCGTCATTTTCGACATTTGCTCTGAAGTGAGGTGTGTATTAGAAAAATAAGTCGCTGGTATTTCTTCTCTGTCTACCGCTGCTGCAGTCAAGGACCACGTAACGGGCCTAACAGCAGTGCTATTTTTCGTGCAGATGCACGTGCGGCAGACACGCCTAGCGTTCCTTAACCACAAGCATCATTACTACGCGTTCTGATGGATAACGCATCAGATGAATGCTTCTTTTCTCAGACATTTAGCCATAAGTTGCGCAGCACGATTTTTCAAACTGAAGTATTACGTTTCCGAAAGTGAGTGAATGGGAAGAAGAATACAAACTGACAGTATCTGCAGCCCCTAGGAAAAAACCTTTCTCCAGTACTCCGAAACGATGTCGTAAATTAAAAACTTTAGTCACGCAGTTTAATTATATTAAATTATGCAACAACAACAACTAGCGAAATCCCTATCAACAACGGAGCAAACTTGAAAATTTCGTACAGAACCAAAAAAATTTTCACCAGTAATCAGCGGACGGCAAAAATTTTTATGCACAATTCAATTTGACTTTCCAGTTCTTAAACGTTTTTTCTGTCCAAATTTTCGCCTTCTTGCTCCACTTTTCGCTTTATTCCTTCGTAGTTTTTTGCGTGTGGCATAAACTGGATCCAGAATGAGTTCTTCCTGCAAATTTTCACAAATGAACAGAAGAGTGTACACATGAAATTGGTACAGTATGATATTCCACAAGCACTCGTCAAAACTGATAGGGTGTGCTTGTTGAAACGCTTAAAACGTTTTCCGAAAACCGATTGCCAAAATTCTATTACACAAGAAGTTTTTTGAAATTATTGTCCAGTGTAAGCAGCGACTGCAGGAGCTGTACAAATGGATTCAATACGACTGTCACTTTTCTTTTTGCCATCCTCAGTCACTCATTCCCATAGTACTGCAAAGAAAATTTCATATTTTTGCTGCATTCATATTGAAATCTGAAGACTTTTCCACGACTCACTTTCTGCTTGCGCTTCCGTAATTCAAATTTAGCAGCAGACTGTTTTTGACATTCTGAAATCCGCTTCGTAAATTCTTCCTCGCCAATTCTTCCTTTCATAGTTTCCGCAACTTCTTTCGATATTTGTTCCAGCACTTCCGTATCTGCAAGTGAGCGGGAGCATGTGAATGAGTTTCTTACTAGCCTAGAGCACTGCGCCCGAAGTGAGTGCCGAGAAAATTCACTTTAGAAAATTGATAAAGGCATACTCTGTGCCGATTTGCCTTGCATTTCACGATACAACGATGGTAAAAATGCATCGACCACAATGCCAGTGTGAGACGGCTCCACCTTTAAAATTACAGCAGCAGCAACTTTGAAGATGTTAATTCGCTGAAAAACACTTTTGTTAGTGATGATCGACAGCAGGCAGATAATAAACATGCATCTGAACACAACTATGAAATCAATAAATATTGGTCACGAAGTTATAGGTCATCTAGCTGAAGCATCAATCAAACTCAAATTGAAAACAACTACGGACTGGTGGTGGCGTGCACCAGTGTTGCCAGAGCATTTGCTCTATACGTTTTCCGCATAACTATTTAAAAATTGTCCCAAATCTCAAAAGCAAAGTTATGAGACTTGAGAAGTCGATTTTAGGCATAATCACCTACATATTACTGTGAATTATGGTCATAGGATTTCAACTCTCTAAACAGTCTGACGACGAAGTTGCAAAATTGTCATTATCAACCCTTCACAAAGCATGCAAGGTAAACGTCTTTTTCATGTACACTTACTCTCTACACTATCGTGGACCAAGCTCAAAAAGTTTCAGCTCTCCGGTTATTACGCCCACAGAGATATAAAATTATCAGTGTCAAGTCCTACGTGCTCGTGTGAGAGACATGAGGGGGTATGAAAGATGCTTAATTGCATCTGCCTGAACACGCCTGCGTACCAAACACAGAAAATTTCAGCACTCTTGTTGCTTTGGTTGCGGAATTACAAAATCGCCAGCATCAAAATCCACGCGTCTGTGTGTTAGATGTACGGGAGCATGGTAATTCATTCTATGCTTGCGAATGCGTGTAAACTGTAAACATCTTCGTGAAATCACATCTCTCTTTCCCGTCTGTTTCTAGAGTTGGCATGCAACTAACCTGGATTTTGACGAGTCTGCAAGTGAAAAGCAGATTTAGGGCTGAATTTAATTCTTTGAGTCGCGTATGGATAAGAGTCATCCTTACAAAGACATGGCGCTTTTTTGGCTCACGAGAACTTCAAACCATCAAAAAATGTTTCACCTGTCAGTACGTGAGAAATAAGAAAAATACGAGTCTACGCCTGGGAAACCGCAGTTCAAATTTGAGCTTCGTACGTTTCATAAATCCGAAGATCGAAATACACGAATATGCACACAGTCAGAGTCGCTTTACAGTGTGCGTTTTCGCACTGCACAGATGCAAACAGAAAAAAAAAACGCACAAAAATCAAAGTTGTTCGAAAAAACGAGCAAATCACCACTTACCCTAGTGGCTTCATTAGGCAATTTAACCACTTCAAATTTACACATCGAGCAGAGTTTATGGCAAAACCATCTCAGTGCTTCATCTGATCGTACGACTGTGTCGAAAAGGTATGTAATATTCTTGGCAACCTAAAACAACAAAACGGTTTCGAATTAAAAAAAAACGCCACCAGTGATTACATCTTCGCAGTGACCACATGGAAAGGGGTCTAGCAAATACAATTCAAAACATCTCAATATCCTATAAAAGTGCATTATGAAAGCATACGCGTATGCTCAACTGCCACCATTTCCTCATACCACAAACAGTTCGTTGCTCGTCTTGCAGTAACAACATTCAAATTTGAAACAGATGACAAAAATACCAATCGAGGAAACACGGGGACTGATGTTTAACTTTCTTTCGCTGCTAACAATCGTCATATCCTTCTTAGCAGTCTCGTCCTTTTACTTTACACAGTATCGTCCCTCCCTTCCCAGCCCAATCTTTACCTCCCTCTCTCCCAGCTCACCAATTTAGTCTAATCTACTCGGATTATAGGGCATAACAGACATAATTAACGTGTAAAATGAATGATGCATTTCCCTATTCTCCAGTCAAAACTAACCTGTTCTGCAAAGGCACTGCTCATTTCATGGCTTCTGAATTGAGTGACTGTCCACAGCAAGAAATCTCGAGCAGATGGATCGCTTCTGGATGCAAGATAGTCCTTATCTAAGGTCGAAAATGCCAAGCTCAAAAAGCGGGCTGCAGATAGCTGAACAGCCTGTGACTGAAAACATCGAGCAAGCCAACCCATTTCCTCTGAAAACCATTTGTCGACAGTGAAAGAAAGAAGTTCTCCACCTATGCAGAAAATTAAACAAAAGCTGGGCATTAGAAAAAACTATTTCAGACTGAAGCTGCAAAAGAATGGACTTTCGGACAAGGTCTTGACAACCCAGGCTGGAACGCACCAGGCGGGCCGGTGCGATTATGCGTTTTTGCACTTTTCGTGC